TATATATATAGAGAGAGAGAGAGAGAGAGAGAGAGAGAGAGAGAGAGATGAGCGATCAAATGCAAACCACCCAATTTGTACAAACCGTGCAAACCACTCTCATTCGTCGATTTCATTGTTTTTATCTTATGAAATTTTTTCATGAAATTGTTTAATCTTGTGAAATTGTTTCATATAATACTTTTTTTTAATGAAATTGTTTAATATATAGTTATGAAATTGTTTCATATAATACTTAATGAAATTTTAATGAAACTGTTTCATGTATTTCTCTAAAATTAAAATAATGAAGATGATAAAATCTATAATTAACACTCTCCACAATAAAAATATTAATCAACCTCTCATAATTACAAAAAAATGAACAAAATGAAAATTTATGATAATTTGAATGAGGTTTGTACGATTTGTACAAATAACGTGGTTTATAAAGTAAACCTCCTCTATATAGATACATATAGGATCATGTTCATGTTGAAAATCACAAAAAAAAAAAAAAAATTGGAGAACCGGATAACTTGTATATTCATTGATGTATAAATACTATCAGAATATATATTCTGTTAATACATATATTAATCAATACATATCTATTATGTATGCAAGTATATATACTGCACATACTCACTAAAATTCATTAGTATATATATATATATATCAATGAATGTAAAGAGTTATCAAATTTTTTGTTGTTTTCACATCAAGGTCCATATAAATAACACACGTATATATGTGTTTGTATATATGTATATATATTAGAGAGAGAGAGAGAGAGAGAAAATAGATATGAAAAGGAAAGAAGTACAAAGTATGGTGATGAGTTTTTGAGCCTCTAAATCACAAAATGCACTCATTCTAACAATTGTCTAACTTGGCCATCTTCATACAAAGAAATAACCATTAAACAACAGTTCTTATAAACCCTAAAATCCACTCATCATCAAAAACCACCACCCTCTCATCTCAAGGCTTGAAAGCAGAGAATGCTACAACTGAGTTGTGTCCCCCGAAACCAAACGAATTCGAAATCGCTGCACATTCACAAAACATGTTAATCACTCAACCTGCCATAACAACACCCGATATCTGATTCACAAACAAATAATAGCCATCAAACTCACCAACGTTGATTTCATGTTGCTGCTTTACATTTGCAACAGTGTCGAATTCCATTGCAGGTTCTGGGTTCTACGCTCACAAAACACAATGTTAAGATCCAAAAATGAAGAATAATTGTACACTTGGTTAAACTTCAACAGGAAAACCAAACCCAACGAGTCCACCATATCCCACCCAGAGGTGGAGATGGGGTTAGATGTGGGCTGACCTGACCTCTACTCAGAAGAGTACGAGCAATTGTTTCCATTAATACCCCTTGGGAGTGAAAAGTGTGTGAACGGGAAAAATGAAGGATTTATGAAGGACATACAAATTGATTTATGGAGGGATGAAGCCACCCCGTTTGAATGGCTTTAACCGTAGCAATGGCTTCTAGACCTCCGGCCGCACCTAAGCAGTGTCCTATCATAGACTGAAACATAACCAAGTAAGACCAAAATACCCTTTATTTCTGGGGGAGGGTATGAGGGTTTACCTTGGTTGCATTCATCTTGATCCCTGTGGTGTTCTTAAATACCTTCTTTACAGCATTTACCTCAGCCAGATCACCAACCAATGTCGAAGTTGCATGTGCATTGATGTAGTTAACCTGCAAACAAGTTCATTCGGGATCAACTTCCTTACACATGATCAAATACAAACCAGACCAAATAAGCCCGATAAATCCCTTCGGTGGGATGTATGTAGACCTGACCTCCACCTCAAAGAGTAGAGCGACTTTTTTCATGAAGACCCCAGAACACATAATCAAAAATATATTATTCAAATAGCTCCTTATTGGATCTTTAATGTGGTGTTTGAAACCGATTCTCTGCATGCATTGTTCATCATAAAGAGTGACAATCCCAAGAATCATAGCTGCTATATCCGTCTTCATTTTAGCCACACACCACCATCATCCACCACTTACCACCACCAATCTCAACCACTCACCACCATATTCAGAACCACACATTACATACGAGTTGGGTTCCAGTGAGACAAAAGTTATGGTGAGAAGGGTAAGAAGGGATCTCCGCCCTTGGGTCAATCCTAATTGAAGAGATACACTAGATCAATTCCCTTCTAAAGGGCAATTCATGGGTTGTTTTGGAATGAAAAGGGATCAAGGGTCCAAATCTCTTCTTAATGCTTCTCACCTTAGCTCCTATTCTCACACTATCCTTCGTCTATTATGGTTCAGATGCATATATGGAGTACGACCCAAAAAAACAAAAGATGTAACACACACAACATCCATCTGTGTATGCATGTATTCCATTCTTCTTCCTCCTCCCCAAGGAAAAGAACAATGAAATATTTATAAAATAGCAAAATGCAACCAAGTTTAGTTCCTATTTGGCGTAACAAAGTTTGAAATTTTTCTTATTATGTTTACTCATTCTAATTGGTGACCTGCTGAACTTGTAACATTTGATGACGTGGATATCAAGTTTACTGTAACCCTTTTGTAAACAGGTCATCAAATGTTACAAGATCAAGGTTATCAGTCAAGATTAGTACAAAATAGAAACTTTTGAAACTTTGTTGCATCGATTGAGAAAAAGAATATTCTTTACACTAAAGAAACTAAACCAAACTTTGTTGCATTTTGCCCTTCATAACATGTCCACTATCGATCATATATCTAGAATCCCTTCTTTCAGGATAGAAGGAATCTTGTCGACCAAAATCAGAATTACTAAGATTATTGATCACTAACAAATAGGGGAACATTCACATGTTAGAATGCATTTGTGTGTTATAATCATATAAGAAAATAATATGAGCCGAGAAGGATTGAATTTGAAGTACCTCCTCTGCCGACACACCAGCATCCTCCAGGCTGCTCTGAATACAAGAAGAAACACCGAGCCCATCTGAGCGTGGGTCAGTCATATGATAAGCATCGCAATTTATTGCACCTCCCAGATATTCAGCAAGTATTGGTGCATCTCTTTTCATTGCATGTTCCAAACTCTCCATCACCTGCAATACAAGTTACACTCATCGAGTTATTATTAAAAATCATCATTTCATTTGCAGCCAAAAAGTGTAGCACAACATGGGTAGCAAACCAGTAAATAAAGGTCAGGCCTTGGGGCCCATCCCAATAGGTCGCCGATTCGAGTTTCCTCAAAGCCACTAGAAATGGGCAAAAGGACCAGCCTGGTCCGGCGGTCCCAAACCGGACCATCATCAAGCCGGACCAGACAAGACTTGCCAGATGTGCACAGGTCCAGGCTTTTTTTGGAATGGTTTGACCAGACTGTCGACGAGACCAAATTTTTTAGGACCGGTCCATGCCCATCTCTATAGGCCACTGGGGATTTTCCTAGCTATTATCTTCAGGACCCCTGGAAGTAATCGAGGTGCGCGAAAATTTGGCCTGGATACCCACGGTTACCGGAAGAAGAAAAAAAACGTGTAGCAAACTTACCAAAACACCAGCGCCTTCGCCCATGACGAAGCCATCTCTATCTTGGTCCCATGGCCTCGAAGCGGTCTGTGGATCATCATTTCTTTGAGACAATGCTCTACACGCAACAAAACCTCCCAAACCAATGGGAATAATGGCTGCTTCGGTGCCACCAGCAATCATCATATCCGCTTCCCCTCGGCGGATATGATTCGCGGCAGCATGAAAGCAGTAATTGGAGGTAGCACAAGCAGTTGAAATCGAGTAGTTTGGTCCCATAAATCCCAGATCAATAGCAAGCAAAGCAGAACCCATGTTTGTTATTGCGTAAGGAATGAAAAATGGTGTGATTTTTCTGTAACCTCTCTCTATGAGAGACTGCACTCCATCAGAAAATACTGTAAGACCTCCCATCCCCGTTCCAACAAGCACACCAGCACGTTCCTTATCAATCTGCAGAGAGCATATGGATTAAAAAAATCAAGATTTTTATAAAAGGGTATAACGATCCTGAAACTCTAAAGAAAATCTTGACATATAGAAAAGCTAAAAAAATTAGCATACTCCCTTGGTCCCATTCTCTTCTTCCAAAAAGAAAAAGAAAGATCTCTGTTTCTATGTTTGATGTCAATTACTTTATATTTATATGATAGAAAAGATATACAAATATGTGATTTAGCGCCCTTTTATTCATGCATCTATGATCAAAAGTGATGTAACATTATCTTAGCATCATAAAGATATATTTATGCCCTGTAACAAAATACAAGCATAAGGTAGTCCAACAAATGAAAATTAGTTCGTATAAAAGGCTCAGCCATATAACTTTAACGTAAAAACGCACTCCCTTCCGTCCCAAGAGTAACTACAACATTTACAAAGCGTATATTTCGCCTAAAAGCAGCCAGCCATACTCAAATGTTCTTGAGTACCTTTCAATAATGAAAATAGGGTAATTTAGCTTCAAAATCTGCTAGAGAGGAAATTTTGCAATTAATTTCACACCCGCGAATGAAAATAGCATCTTTTACCTCTTGGGGTAGAGGTAAGGTCTGTATACATCCTAGACCCTACTCTGTGTGGGATTAATTGGGTTCGTTTGGTTTGTTACCCCAAATGAAAATTGTTGTAAGAATTTTGAAGTTGGTGTCGCTTTGTTACGTAATCCACGATGTATCTATTTTGGTGGAGTGGAGACTTATTATGCCACGTAAACTGCATACTTGTTTTTGGCGTCAACGTATGTCTCATGCATTTTTTTTTACACAGAGAATAATGATTACATAGAATTGGTGAAGATATAAACATCATGCACTTAGCATTGCTTTCCAACAAAAGTGAGTTATGCACTTTGCACATGCTCCTTAGTACATGCATCACAAACTCTTTTACCAAAGGCACATGTATCAAGTATGCTTCTAATTTCTTATTTATTTTCCCTTTTTACCTCACTTGTAAAACCTCCTAGTTTTTACTGTAACCGGAACCTTTCATTGAAGAAATTCTAAAGATCATATGCACAAGTACTCCTAGATGATCAATTCAGTCAAGCCCTCAAAGCACAATTGAACTCTAAATTAGGGAAAATTGCATCAAAATGCAACGAAATTTGCTTTAGTTCCTATTTAGTGTAACAAATAATCTTTTTTTCTCAATCAATGTAACAAAGTTCCAACTTTTTCTATTTTCTTTTACCCATTTTGACCACGTTCATCTTGTAACATTTGATGATGTGGATATCAAGTTTATCGTCCACTTCGCCATGACCCTTTCGCAAACCTTTCATAAACTGGTATCCACATCAGTAAATCGAAACATTACCCGTCAAAATAGGAACATAATAGGAAATTTTAAAATTTATCACATCGATTGAGGAAAATAATTCTTCTTTATACTAAATATGAACTAAACCAAACTTTGTTGCATTTTGATGCATTTCGCCTCAAAGTTAACATACCATGCAAGGCCCAACCGCCCACACACAATCTTGATCAAGGTATCACAAAACCAGTTGGAGCCTCACAAATCACAATCAAGATCCTAGACTAACAGACCATGGGATCACAACACATAGATACACTTATTGTAACAAAAACCCTACCCAACTTATCCATCAAGAAATTTTTCTGAATGGAGGGAGAGCAGATTCCTAGAAAGTGACTTCAATTAGAAAAAACTTGCAGAGATTTATACATATGCAGATAAATAATGTTTAAAAAAGGCTTCAAGATGTTCAAATCTTTCACACTTCTCCATTTATTCTTACTGGGCATCACACAAATGCAGTAAACATTCAATAAAGTTTCACTAAAACACAAAACCAATGTAAAATCTGAAACAAACAGAGAATGCAACCAGAAGAAATTGCAACACACACACATAGATGATTAATGTTAGAAAACAAGAAATTGGGAAATGAGCATGAATTGAAAGAGCTTGTTCGATTGAAATCATCTCACTCTTTCATACCTTCTTTCCAATTTCAAGCTTAGTATCACCCAAATCCAACACACATTCACTAAATTCCCATTCATGCAGTTTAGATTACCCAAATAACCACCAGATGCAAGCATAAAAAAGCAAGAAAACCAAATAGAATTACAAACCTTGGAGCGTTTATCGCCACCAAGATCGGCATCTTCAAGAGCTTTTTTGCCAGCAACAATGCAATAGCGAAGACAATCATCAAGCCTTCGGTCATTCTTCCCATCAATATACCCATCAGCCTTAAACCCACGAATCTGACCACCAAACCTCGTGGGAAACTTTGATGCATCGAACCGGTCTATCAACCCGATTCCACTCTCCCCTGCCAACAGCTTCTCGTAGTAAGTATCGACATCGTTTCCGAACACGGATACCAAACCCATACCCGTAATGACGACACGCTTCTTGGGATCCTTCTCGCGTTTGGGGGCGGCGGCGACGGCGGAAATTACTGCACGGCGGCGTGTGGCGAGTGAAGGTGATTTGACATTGATGGGTAAGGAACGATTGTGAAACGGATCGAGTGGGGAAACCCGAAGTGGGGTTGATTGAAGAAGAGCTTGAGCTTGCATGGCTGTAGAGGGGAGAAGAGAGGAGAAGAATTTGATTTTTGAAGATGGTGATATTGGATCGATGTGTTCGAGGAAAGGGTAGGTATGGATGGGTGCACCTATCACTTCTACTAAAATTTATTAAGTAGACTAGATCTTTACCAAATCCTTGTTTTTTTCCAATTTCAGCCCCTCCATGTGCTAATTTTTCTACCCTATAGCACTCCCTGCAAGGGTGTGCTGATGGTTAAGAAATTAAATCCGATAGATAGGGGTGTAAATAACAATTCGTAAATATAATTCAATTTTTATATAATAATTTATAAGAGAGTGTTAATTTTAATTTTCATTAAATATTAAATCCAATCAATAATATATTATATTTTAATATTATTATTGTTGTTTTATATGTATACAGACATA